TACTATATTTCTTCTGTTTCTTGGGTACACATATGTTCGAGGCATGTTTATAAAACTTGCAGTGATTTTATTAAGCACTTCAGGACTAAAGGCAAGGAAGCACATGTCTTTAGAATCACAATTGGGTAAAAAGAATGAGAAAAACAGGTACATTTTAATCACAATGACTCTTTTTAAATGTGCACAGAATCTTACATGTCAGTTTACACATTTTACCCTGACTACACAAGGTTGATATTTTTCAGCAAGTGGCTATCACAGAAGTCAATACACTACAGAAAATCAAAGATTGTGACTCAACGTTACTTTTACAGACACTTTTTCATCATTTACAGCCTAAAATTCAGACAACGCACATTATTCTAATTATTATTTATTCTAAAATAAACAAAAAACGCAAATGAGACACTGATCTTATGAAGTCCTTCTCATCAGCAACCCAAAAGTGAAAGAAAGACAATATTTGGCTTTGTCAGCAAATTTATACAGGTAAAGAGTCTTGACACCATAATGTTATGGTCCAAGGTTAGGACCATGGAAGAACGACGCGAAACACAAGAGTAGAAATAACAAAGAATATATTACACGAAAAATAATACAAGAAGTGGAAGGTGTTAGTATGACTGTCAGACTGGTTTGGAGTGAACTACTATCAGCTCGACTCGATTCAATACCGATATTTAACAGTCCCCTCATGAGGAAAAATATAGCAGAGTTTAACGTGGGTTTCTCCGAGCCAGTAGGCTCGGCCAAAAAACACACCCTTTGAACCCGCCTAGACGGGTTCAGGGCCTGTCTACCTCCCCGGACGAAGCTTTGCCCTTCGGGTTCCGCCAAAGCAGAGAGTTCGGACTCGATTCACTACCGTCCGTCTCTCTTAAGAGGCGTAGTATATATATAGCTTTAGGAAGAGTTTATTCTGTCGATCAAAGTAAGGACCCATGACACATAATAAAGGCACACAATCCCATAATTCATTTCAGAAAATGAACAATGGCGCATCTATCAGGATGTATTGCCTACCGATTTTACACCGGAGAGCCATTTTGACTCCAGTAGACACTAACAGTCTTGTAAGTTAGCATATAATTGCCTCACGGAGAAGACCACATAAGATTAGGCGCGTCTAAGACAGGTGTTCTTAACTAGGGGGAAATGAATTAAAGTTTTTAGAGGGAGTGGAGATTTTTTTATTTTTATTTTTATTTACAGAATTCGGAGCCTATCATTAGTGTAAAAAAACGTTATGGTAAAAAAACAATCACCTGTTTCTAATTGACTGTAATCTTCATCAGGATAAAATCGATACACCGCCTTTCTATCGAACATTTTGTTTATTGAATTCCAATCCCCTGGCATTCCGTTGAACCTTTTTAATTGAAATATTTTTTTACAGTAAGGTTCACCCTCTATAAAAGCCGAGGGGCGACTCGTTAAGGGATAGTTTATAAGGATAGGAGAGGAAGATAGATGGACTTGAACAGGTTAAGATTGGCGTGATTGGGGAAACATCCTCTTGGGAGTCTGTTCCAAAGGGAAGTGATTTTAGAGAAGTTTGAGTAGAACTTCTCGCTAATGGAATGTGGTTTGCTACTATGTAAGTGTCATGGCGGGTCCTAGCCGTGAAAGTTAGACCTGGCGAAACCAAGGAATACAATTAACCCGAGCACTTGCCATGGAAGTAGCGATGGAGCAGTGAGAGACTCGAAGGCTGGATGGTGGAAAATAATCCATCTCTCACAGGGATTCGGAGACGCTTTAGGATTCCGTCAGGACTGGAAAGTGAGGACGGCAGTCCCCCGCCCAAATATGGCAAAAGTACTCCATTTTCGGTCTGATCTGGCTCTTATAAAGGTAGATGATAGCATGAGGAGTCAGGTACTTACTGGAGCTTCTAAAATGCCGTCCATTCTCATAAACACGTCGCTTCAGAAGGCTTCACAAATTATTATCTTCCCCTCCTATCCGCATAGAATAGGAGGGTAAGATAATTGTTAACCCTAGACTTGAACAGGTTAAGATTATAGGGATAAAGGAAACATCCTTTTAGGAGAGTCTGTTCCATAGGGCAGTGGTTCGAAGGAAGGAAGCTGTTCGAGTGAAACTTACTTCTCATTGATGGGAATACGAAGGGAATGTGGGTGATTTGCAACAATGTGAGTGGTATGACGGGTCTTAGCCGTGAAGGTTAGACCTGACGGAACCAAGGAATGCAGTTCGTCCGAGCACTTTCCATGGTATAGCGATAGAACAGCGAGAGGCTCGCCACATCCCGCCTTTGGAGGTTGGAGGGTGGAAAATAATTCTTCTGCAACAAGGACTCGCAGGCGCATTTGAACTCTATCAAGGCGCCAGACCTCCTCGAGGGGACACAGTTTCATCGAGACTGGCGGTAGTTCGGTGTCTGATCGGCGGTGATTGAATGTAAAAACTAGCATATTGATCTTTGTATCTTTTTTACCTGTTCTGTCTCTGTGATTATATCTGATATATATTTCGGCTTTAAATAACCCCAAAGGGTTGATAAGCCGTAAAAAACAAATCTCCGAATTACGCAATGGTCAAGGCTTGAGGACCACTGTAGGTAGATGGTTACAAAGTAATAGGCAACGGTTATACGGATATGTGTTTAAAACACTACATGAATAAAATGTTAAGATTTAAATAAACGAGAAAGCATTTTCTTTAGAGTCGGTTCCCCAAGGGATTTGTCCGGGAAATGAAGCTGCTTTGTTGGAATTTAATTTGAAAATATTATGTTACAAGTTCATATTCTCGCTATTTTTTCTATCCTCGCTCCAACCTCTTTTTACTTTCAAAACCCGGCTCCCAAAGCCTTGATTCTTATCAGAGATAAGAATGTATTTTCTGACTAACGTGAGAGCTGGAAAATATAAAAATGAATTCCACCACCATTATTCTTTCCATGGTGCCATAAAGTCTGAGGGAAACCTCACAGCTTGTTCACTCCAACCTGTTTTCATTACTTTCAAAACCGGCTCTCAGAGCCGTGATTCTTATCAGAGATAAGAATATATTTTTCGACCAATGAAGAGGCCAGGAAATTTGTTCAACAATTTTGGAGGGAAAAAGTCCCCGATTCGTAGGAGCCTAGCAAATCTTCATAAATTTGGAGAATCTTTGCCTATTTGGCAGTGAAAATTCAGCCCACCGTCTGTGAGGTCGATGATAGGGAACTCCACTCAACTTCAGAACCACTTTCAACCAAAGAATTACCTACTAAAGAGCTGTCAAGAACGAACGTAGGTCCACAGTTCAAGACCAATTCAAATCTGCATCCCTTCACCACTCCTTCTGACGAGCCCACTGGACTTCTGTGGTCGACCTACGAACTCATTCAACTTCAAAATTCCTATATCTATCAACAATTTTCTTTCTCTTCTACAAGAACTGTGAGTGTTTGTAAACCTTAACAAAATTCTACTTGCTTAAAGAAGTTTTTAGGCGCTCAGAGAAATGTTTTGAGCAAGCCTTTTTTTCTGTTTTGAACATTTTCTCTTCCCTTAAAGGACATTTTCTCTTTTCCCTTACGTTCACTCTTAATTGTCTTTATCCCTTTACCCTTTTTTTTCTGTATATGTAAATAAACACTTTCTTACACACCAAGCAGGAGTTTTTTCTTTATTCGTCCGCGCCTAAAAGAGAGAGTTTGTCCGCTCTAATCTTGCTGTTTTTTTACTCGCGTTTTTAACCTCAACCCAATTTTTTAACCTCAAGCCTTGGATGCAGAAAAGCCGGGACAGCTTCCCGCGTAGCTTGAGTGGAACTTACATCTCAGCAAGGGAATACGAAGGAAGCGCGGGGGTCCGCTACAACGGTCGTGGTATGGTGTGTTATCACCGTGAAGCTTAGGACTGGTGGAATATTTAGAGTTTTATTTCTTAAATTTAGAATTCTTTCGCCCAAATATAGTAACAGTACTCCAATTTCAGTCTGATCTGGCTTTTATAGAAATAAAGGATAGGATGAAAAATCAGGTACTTACTGAAGTGGTACAAGGAACTGATTATTTTTCTTGCATCATTAGCGACGGATCGTAAGTATGCTTCAGTTTATTTTATTAATAATTAATCATAAGGTGCATCGTCAGTGGTAATACCTTTGCTGCAAAATGGTTAAGCCAGCTTTACTCTGTTGAAATGGGATACAGAACTCTACTGGTCCACGGCCTACACCCAAATCTCACACATTGCTCCAACGGGTCGCGTGGGTACCGCGACAGATACATCCCAATCAACGGCATCGACCTGCCGGCTAAACTGTGTGTGAGTAGTCGGAAGGATTCTCGACCCCACCGGTGAAGGGGTATCGGCCAGTCTGGGTGTAAGAGCTTGCGTTTCAGAGGTTAATGGATTTACCAGTGGGCGGAAGAGATTCTGAGAGAAGGAACGGTGTAGCCTCAACATCAACCGGGGCAAAAGTAACCAGCAAGCCATTGCACTATTCTACCTTGAATATCATCATGAACCACAACTGTGAGACAGAGGATGATGATGAGTCCCAATATAGGACGAAATGGCCATCCATGGCTTTCTGCATTCTGTTGAGGATTCTTCTAGATTCGTTGAATTGCTATAATGATTTGCTTACATCCCCAAAATTCTATAACTTGTATATCCTTACTTGACCCAGCTAATGTTCTGCGATGGAGCGGTTCGGGGGAAAGGAAAGACGTGACTCTTGGGGTACAGTCCGTTGGGTTATGAATACTTGGGTGAGTAACACCACGGAATTTGTGGGTACCTGCGCTATATCGAATCTATTCAGTTTCTTCTTCGACACTGAAGCCCGTTGGTATGACGGTTGTGTTGTATCGAAACGGTTCGGGTTCGAATTTCGGTAGTGGATGTTCACTGCTGATGAGTCCCAAAATAGGACGAAACGGCCGTCCAGTTCAGGATTTTTCTAGACTCGATAAATTACTATATTATAGATAGATATGAAGAGATTGAAATAGATGAGATAGACAGATAATGAACAGCCGGTAATAGAAAGATAGAAAAGGAACAGACATGATAGATAGATAGATAGATAGATAGATAGATAGATAGATAGATAGATGATGGTGAACACAGCGTCGGTGCAAAATGCACTAACTGATATTGAGCACTTTTAGCGATACATATAGCGTAAACTATATTTAACTATATTTATATATATATATATATATATATATATATATATATATATATATATATATATAGAGAGAGAGAGAGAGAGATAGATAGATAGATAGATAGATGATGGTGGTGAACACAGCACCGGTGCAAAATGTTCTAACTGATATTGAGCACTTTAAGCCATATATATATAGCGTAACTTGAAACTATATTTTATCATATAGATAGATAGATAGATAGATAGATACGAAGAGATTGAAATAGATAGATAGATAGATAGATAGATAGATAGATAGATAGATAGATAGATACGAAGAGATTGAGATAGATAGATAGATAGATAGATAGATAGATACGAAGAGATTGAAATAGATAGATAGATAGATAGATAGATAGATAGATAGGAAGAGATTGAAATAGATAGATAGATAGATAGATAGATAGATAGATAGATAGATACGAAGAGATTGAAATAGATAGATAGATAGATAGATAGATAGATAGATAGATAGATAGATGTTAAGTCATTCTAAGGGTTCTACTGGTACCATGTAAACCATTACTATCTGCCGAATGGTCACGTCATCGGCGACTAAACCGGTTTCCTTCATAAACGTTTATGTTGCGGACGGTGGCTGGGAATCTACCAGGAATAAACCAAAACCTGTCAAGGGTCATGTGACCCTTCTTGAAAGGTCAATGTCCATCTGGCACAAGAGTCTAGCCTAGTCTCCATACTTATGTATTTAGTTAGTGTTCCATAACTAGTGCTGGGATGATACGACATTAGTGGGTGGAAGCTTCCTAAACTGACAGCAAAAAGGGTTGAGACAACGGTAACGTTGGTTTAACTTGGAGATGATTGCGCTCCGCCAAGTGGTATAACTGCCCAAGATTCGCTGTGCATGGAGGAATACTTCTCTGATTTTCCTACACAGATATGTAGCAGGAGTCGTCAGGGGCTCAGCTGTGCCGGGGCAATGCGACATCACTAGGGCATGGGACACCATCTGACGATATCTTTATGGTCTATGATTCGGATGCTGGAAAGAAAACCCTGATTTTAAATCTCCGCTGCCTTGCGGTCATATCCAAAACATGGAAAATGGTTATGGAAGTAAATCCAGGCGAAAAACCCGCATTGGATCCCTGAAGGCCGTTGGCTATCAACAATGACAACTTTCCGGCAAATGCTGCAGCGAAACCGCACCGAAATGTCCGAGATGCGGGTCATGTTGTCTAAGCAGCGCACGGTTTCCATATACAATCGCCAGCCTAGGAGAAGAAAAACTTTGAAATGAAACCGCCTGCTGCTTTGTAGGTCTTGCCTTTTTAACTACTGAGAGGAAGGTCAGGGTAACCTCAAGATCTCCGGTGCAAAAGGGAACGGTAAACCATTATACTATTCTGCCTTGAATGTCACCTTGAACCACAATTGTGAGATGGAGGGTGTTACAGTTTTTGGGATATACATGTATAACTAGTGAGCGAGTCAAAATGACAATTCCCTTTATAGTCTACCAATAGAATATTAACCAATCAGAAGCCGCAGAACATTGTATCCGTCGTGTATAAAGGCGGCCATTTTTGTTTACCCTACCGGAATGACCAGAGCCAACTTGTCAGGCGAACATGACAGAAGGAAGAACTACGCTCTGCTACTTTGCTGCGATATCCACTGCGAACCTGAACTGCCCTTTCCTACTGTCTCCGAAATATTCACTGCCAACCTCTGGATTCTATACTCGAAGACGACCGTCATGAATTTGTAACAGAGGGAAGTGGTGACTATAGCAGCGGCGCTAAAAGTGCTAACTGAATGAATGATTAAAATATGGTCCTGGGTTGAAGTAGCTAATGTTGGCTTTAGAATATGCTCCAATACTCATTTCATATGGTCTTGCCTCTTTAACTAGTGAGAGTAAGGACAGGGTAACCTCAAGATCTCCAATGCAAAAGGAATCGGCCAAAGATTGCATTATCCTGCCTTGAATGTCGCCATGAGCTACAACTGTGAGATGGAGGGAAGTGGTGACCACAGCGGCGGTGCCAAATGCGCTAACTGAATGAATGATTAAAAGAAGGTCATGGGTTGAAGTAGCTAATGTTGGCTTCAGAATACGCTCCAATACACATTTCATATGGCTTCAGAATTCTGCCTTGTAGGTCTTGACTCTTTAACTTCTGAGAGGAAGGTCAGGGTAACCTCAAGATCACCGATGCAAATGGAACCAGCAAGCCATTGCACTCTTCTGTCTTGAATGTCACCATGAACCACAATTGTGAGATGGATGAGAGTGGTGACCACAGCAGCGGCGCTAAATGCGCTAACTAAATAAAATGAATGAAAGTCTTGATAATTTTTTGCAGTTTTACGTCATTCTGTTTTGTTTTTTTGTTTATTTGTTTTCTCGTCCAAATCCTTGAATTTATTTTACTTCAAGCTAAGCCACGAAAACGAGGCACGATGGAGTAACGGATTCTGGTTCGGTCGAATTGACGAATCGGCAAACCGAGTTCGAATTCCAGTCGAGATCATTGCATTCACATACGTGCTATTTATCCTTGGGAAAAATATGACTCCATTTCTTCCCACCCGCTATCAGTAAAATAGCAGTACAGACAGGGACCTATAGCCTTGGTTGGCAATCAGTCTAGGAGAAGGAAAACTCTGAATTCAAACCATCTGCTGCTTTTTAGGTCTTGCCTCTAACTTTTGAGAGGAAGGACAGGGTAACCTCAACATCCCCGGTGAAAAAGGAACCGGTAAACCATTGCACTATTCTACCTGGAATGTCACCATGAACCGCAATTGTGAGATGGAGGGGAGTGATGACTACAGCGGCGGTGCCAAATGCGCTAACTGAATAAATGGATCAATAAATTAAGTTATAAAACAAATTACTGTACATGTATTCAAGTTTTAAAAATGCATCATTTTGAATTTTTTAAAAATCTTTTCACCCCAAGCAAGGCGATAATGCCACTAAGACGCAAGAAGTGAGTGGCTACTGAGAGTGAAAGAGAATAAAAAGACTTTAGTGGTGAGATTTGAAGAAATGACAAAAAAAGGAACAGGAATCAAGTAACTAGAAAATTGAAGATTGTAGTTATCAGGGAAGCAAGAATTCGGAAGGGACCTCCACAGGTAAGAAGTTATGAGAAAAGAAACAGTTAGAGTAGAAGTGGCGGTTACATCTAGCTAGTTCAATAGTAAAACGGTAACACCTACTTGTCAATCTAGTTCCCATATGTACAATTTGTCTGTTGGGGGGGGGAGATAAAAATAACAAATTTTAAATATGAAACCTCAATGGAGATTTGCAATGAGGAAAGGTCATCTGAAAGGGAATGAAAAGACTTGTGGCGAGAATTAAGGAAATGACAGAAAAGGAACAGGAATCAAGTAAGTAGAAGATTGAAGATTGTAGTTATCAGGGAAGCAAAAATTCGGAAGGGACCTCCACAGATGAGAAGTTGTTAGAAAAGAAACTGTTAAAGCAGAAGTGGTGGTTGCAACTAACTAGTTCAACAGTAAAACGCTGAGACCTAATTGGCAATCTAGTAGCATGCTTAAATTCCTTTAGTCGGAGCACCAGCGTAAAAAAAAAACTCGTCAGAGCAGTTGCTATGAATATATTTGTAGAAAAGGTAGCTGGAAGCCACATCACGTCGGTGAGAAAGTGACTGGAGATGAGATGCCAGGTCAGGATCGATTATATTGCAGACACTTTTTTGGTTTTTGTCAAGAATCTCGAGATGTACAGAAAGAACACCAGACATGGCAACCGGATTCTATGCACGGACGAATGGTAGATTTATAAATCTGCAAGATGGATTCTGTTGTAAAATTCCTCTATAAAAATAATCCATGTAAATGTATATATATAGTAATATGGAAAAGAATGTAAGTTTTCGATAATATATGCGTATTATTTGGAATGCATCTTTTGCGTCGGACAATCTTGAAAAGGGGCGTAAAATAACATCCCGACTTACCTCGGAGTTCTTGACAAGATCCAGAGACGGATATGTAATCTAATTGGCCCTGATCTGGCGTCTCGTCTGCAGTCACTCTCTCACAGACGCGCCGTCGCCTCTCTCTGTCTTTTCTACAAATACTTTCATGGTAATTGCTCCGATGAGCTGCTTTCACTGGTTCCCAGACTTCATGAATTCAAGCGCCCTACGAGGTTGTCATCCCGCTCCCACCCTTACACTGTAGAAACTTTCAAATGTAGCCGTCTCTTCTACTCCAATAGCTTCATACCTCGCACCTCTCGCCAGTGGAACACCCTCCCCAATTACTGTTTCCCTGAAAGCTATAATCTTCAACTATTCAAATGTAATGCCAATCGACATCTCCAGTTACCTTGATCTACCTACTATCCCTCTCCTCGTCCTTTATCTTATCACTCCTATCTGCTCTCGCTCCAAATCTTCCGCAACCCCCTGCATCCTAGTGGCTTCACGCCTTGCTTGGGGCGTAATGCTAAAAAAAAAAAAAAAATATGAAAAATGCGCATTGGGCAAAAAGCTTTGAAAACCATGGGTCTAACACATGTCCACGGGTTTAGGTGACCCTCCAGTACTGTCGTAATGTCAACGTAAGGTACCACATAATGTATTGTGACATGAAAAACCAAGGTAACAATTTCGTAGGGTTAGGATATTATTAGATGAATTTGTTCAATAGGCACTCAACCTGAAATAATCATTATTTTTTAATTTTTTTTATAAGAAGCAGTCCAAATTATAAATTCCATAAAAAATACATTTATTTAATTTTAAAAATTCACGTCGTATGATCGTATCGGCTATGGCTTCTGTACGGCTCAATTAATTTTTTAAATCACTTCTCCCCGAGCAAGTCAATATCACTAAGACGCAAGGTGCTACTAGGTGTGAAAGAAAATGAAAAGATTTTAGAAAGAATCGGAAACCCAATCCTAAAGAGAAAACAAGGGATAAACCTCTATTCTTGTTCAAAAGTCTAGGGAGGAGTGTGAACCGGACGATAGATTAACCTATCTGCTATTGACGAGAAAAAAGTAAATAAAATTTCAGATATAAGGCGGAGACGTTAGAAGTATAGAGTTGAAGTAGACATTAGAAGGAACCAGAAATAAAATCCTAAAGAAGGGATAAACCTCTATTCTTGTTCAAAAGACAGGGGAAAAATGTGAACCGGGCTATAGGGAATTTGTTTTTACGGATTATCAACCTTTTTCAGACGATTAAAATCCGGAATTTTTTTTTTCTTTTAGATTTTAAGAGCGTTTTTGGGAGATAGCAATGATTTACTGATAATAATTAACTAAGCCTACTTATTAATTCATTACCGGGGTAGGGAGAGGTGGATTCATGCCTTTCCCAAGGGTATTCATGCGTAAGTGAATATAATGAACTCAACTAGAATTTGAACTCGGCTCTTTGGTTTTCAATTTCTGGCCGCTATTCGCTACACCAGCCACACACCCAAGCTTACAGAATCTGGTATTCACAAGCGGTCATCCATCTTGGCACTGACCGGGCTGCCTATTAAAATAGGAATCCATTAATAAATTTAGAAACCGCATTCTTTACAAGGGTAAATAGAGCACACTATTGCCTAGCCGTCTAAAGCACTTCCAATGAAAGGTTGGTTTCGCCTACAAAGAGGGACACAGGTTCGAACCCTGCCTGGGAGCACATTTCCTTTAAGTTATTTCGAATGCGCAGACCGGTAGATATAATTCACACTGTTTAAATTATAAAAAACAAAACAAAAAAGAACAAAAACGGATCGTTTATTTCAAACATGGATAGCCACTAAAAATAGCGTTTGAAATAATATATATATATATATATATATATATATATATATATATATATATATATATATGTGTGTGTTGTGGCACCTCGAGGCGGTGTAATGGTTAACAAGCTTGTTTCGCTAGAACAATTACGACTGAGTAGTGAGTTCGATCCTCACTGGGTGCCCTAATTTCGGCTTTGTACCACATCTAAGCTACATTGGAAAATCACTATATATATATATATATATATATATATATATATATATATATATATATATATATATATGTATGTATGTGTGTGTGTGCACGCATGTGTGTGTGTGTGTGTGTGTGTGTGTATGTTTGTAGGATGTATAAGAGGGACAATAAATTAAATTACTTCACCAGATCCGACGAACAGAGACCGAAAAAACTCCCCACTTCATATCCTCAAAAATCCCAACATATATATATATATATATATATATATATATATATAGTAAAGGTAATAAATTTGTTGATATATAACCTAAGTGTTAAAAATGATCCACAAAAAGAGCTCAATGTATTTATTATAACAGAGCCAATAAATAGTATTACACAGGAAAATCCAAAATTACCTTATATGGGGATAAATATTTGACCTAATTAAATTCAGTATAATATATATATATATATATATATATATATATATATATATATATATATATATATATATATATATATAAGACAAGATGGATTTAATCCGGCTAATATTTTAATATATTTTGTTTATACTTTTCTATTTTTTTTATGGATACAACTGCTTTAATTAAACAGTATTAATTACCTTTACCAGCCTGAAAATTCGAGAAACAGGAATCGAACCTGTATCCATACAGAAAGCGTCATAAAGCCTGACGTTCTGTTTAACCATTCAGCCACAGAGAACTTCCGGTTAGCAAAGTTCCTATTACTACTAATAAACACACATCTTCGACGATCTTTCTCGATAATTCATTTCTTCACTGAAACGTAACTTAACTTCTCTGAAACGTAAAAAATGACAACATGGATTAAATCCGACAAATATTTGAATATATTTTCCGTTTATACGTTATTTTTATGGATACAAATTATTTGAGTAAAAATACTCTGTTTTATGTTCAGGTTTTATGACTTAAAAGGCCGGTAAATGTAAATAATAATGTTTAATTATAGCAGATTATTTACTCAAATATGCTGGATCCATAAAAATAACGTATAAACAGAATATATATATATATATATATATATATATATATATATGAATAAAAAATATATATATATAAAAGTGAACATTGAAGTCAACACTCAGAGGCGACAGGATATTCCATGCTAGACGCAATCGTCAGGCCACCTGATGTTTGCTTTTACTATGAAACAGTCTGTCACCTCTTAGTATTGACTTCAATGTTCACTTTTATATTTACAAACGCTCTGTCTCTGATATTGAGAACTTTATCCCATAAATATAGCACACCTTAAATCTATATTTCTTATATATATATATATATATATATATATATTACGGCAATATATATAGGTGAAATGGCACCTCGATGCGGTGTAATGGTTAACAAGCTTGTTTCGCTAGAACATTTGCGACTGAGTACTGATTCGATACTCTCTGAGTGCTCCATACTTTCGGCCTTGTGCCACGTTTAAGCTACGATTAGAAAATCGTTTTGGGGCACTTCGACGTGATGTAATGGTTAGCAAGCTTGTCTACCATTACCCTTGGGAGGAGTATGTATCCATCTCTTCTCCCCCAGCTATGGGTTGAATAGTAAGACAGACTGGTTTCTTCAGTCTTGGTTAGCAATCAGTCTACTGCAGAAGAAAATGGCAACCTACTACGGGAAGAAATCTATCCCGTCAGTCATGTATCGAAAGATACATGATCGCCCAAGCGTGTATCGTGTATGGCATTTTGACTAAATGAGTTCGAACCTTACTGTGTGCGCCATACTTCCGGTGGTGTGTGTGTAATTCTGTGTGCTTCTGTGTGTATCTGTTTCCATATGTGAATAATGTATTCTTTAGTTATATTATATTGCACATTGGGTGTATAAATTTAGTGGAACATTATATGTTAAGTATTATTTTCTATATTGTTTTAGTCGAGGTGAAGTAGATAATTTACTAGAGTTCTTTGAAATACATAGGCCGTACCCGTATTTATTTGAATTCTTTCTGTCATGTTTGTTTGGTTGAAGATACGAGTTCAGGTAGTTCATAGACCACTGGCATTACTTCTTAGAAAAAATGACAGAAATTTGTTCAGATCAAAATTTGGAACGAGACATTAAAATGAGATTCATCGCTAAGTTTCAAACAGCTCAATCGGATGAGAGATACTGATGGGGTTGCGCTGGAGAAGAGGGTGAAATAACGAAGCTGAGAAATGGGAAAGAAGGAAGAAATTAACGGAAGACAGAAGGAAGGAACGAAGGAACGAACGAACGAACGAACGAAGAAAGGTATGAACAAAGGGGGAAAGGAAGGAAGAGAAGAATGAATAAAGGAAGTGATGAAAGTAGAGAGGAAATAAAGGAAGGAATGAACGAACGAACGAACGAAGAAAAAGGTTGATGAAAGGGAGAAAGAGATGAATGAAGAAAAGGATGAAAGAATAAAGGGAGAAGGAAGTAAAGAAGAGAGGAAGAAAACGAACGAAAGAAAGAAAGAAGGAAAGAGAGAGAAAAAGAAAGAAAAAACGAAGAGATTAAGAAAGGAACGCAGAAAAGGAGAAAGAAAGGAAGGAAGAGAAGGGTGAATGAAGGAAGGGGTGAAAGTAGAGAGGAAATAAAGGAAGAAGGAACGAACGAAAGATGAAAAAAAGATTGAAGAAAGGGAGAAAGAGATGAATAAAGAAAAGGATGAAAGAATAAAGAAAGAACGAAGGGATGAAGAAAGGAACGAAGAAAAGGAAAAAGGAATGCAATAAGAGAGGGATGAATGAAAGAAGGGGTGAACGTAGAGAGGAAATAAAGGAAGAAGAAAAAGAGGACCGAATGAACAAAGAGGTGAAGAAAGGACTGAAGGAAGGAAGAGAGATAAATGAAAGAAGGTGGAAGGAAGAGACAAATAAGGAAAAGGATGAAAGAATAAAGGGATGTAAAGAAGAAGGGAGGGATTAAGAAGAAAGAAAGGAAAGTAGAGAGGGTAGAAGAGGGGAAAGAAAGAGAGAGAGAGCAAGAGAACGGGAAGATATGAAGGAGAAACATAAAAGAAACAGTGGGGAGGAGGGAAAAAGGGGAAGGAAGCGACAGAAGGAGAAAAGAGAGTTGGGTTAAGTTGATTGATCTTATCAAGTTTTGTATGGGGCACTTAGTGCGGACCGAGCACCATAATAGTCGTGGTCAATCAGACTAGGCTCATTAACCATTATCCTACACTAAAGTGCCCTCGAAGGAATGAAGAGACGAAGGAAAAGAAGGATTGATTGATTACTTTTTTTGCGACTTATCAACCCTCTGACCAGATTTTGGCTTGTAGGAGGTCGCTTACAGCAGCCTGTGCTCCCAAGCAGTCCCTCATTTCTGTACTGACCCGGCTCGACACTGCTTAACTTTCACCATAATCAAAGAGGAAGGAACGAAAACTGGAAGGAGAAAGGAAGAACGGAAGCGAAGAGGGAACGAACGAGCAAACAACCGACTGAACGAACGGACAAAGGAAGGAAGGAAGGAAAGGGGAGAGAAACGAACGAACGAATAAAGGAGCAGACTGAGAGAGGAGAGAAGGGAGTGAGAAAGGAATTCAGTCAAGAAGGAAGGAAGGAACGAACGAATGAACGGACTGAGAGAGAAAAGAAAGAGACGAGAGAGGAATGAGGAAGGAAGGAAGGAAGGAACGGACTGAGAGAGAAAAGGAAGAGACGAGAGAGGAAGGAAGAAGGAAGGAAGGAAAGAAGGAAGGAACGGGCTGAGAGAGAAAAGGAAGAGACGAGAGAGGAATGAGGAAGGAAGGAAGGAACGAACGAACAAACAGTTTGAGAGAGAAAAGAAGCGAGGAAAACAGGAATGAAGTCAAGAAAGTCGAGGGAGGAGAAGGAAAGAAGGGAGAAGGAATGAAGAGAGAGAGAGAGAGAGAGAAACAATCGAAGAAAACGAATGAACAAACGGAGAAAGAAAAGAAGAGAGCGAAAGAGGAAGGAAGGAAGGAAGGAAGGAAGAGAAAAACGAACGAACGAACGAACGAACGAATGGAGAGATAAAAGAAGGGTGAAAAGAGGAATGAAGTCAAGAAGGAAGGCAGAAAGAGAGAAACGAACGAACAAAGGGAGAGAGAAAAAAAGGGAGAGAGAAAAGAATAAAGTCAAGGAAAAAAGGAAAGAAGGAATGGACTGATCGTAAAAGAATGAAAGAAAGATAGTGTACAAGAAAAACATCATAGAAAGAAAAAAGGAAGAAAGAAAGATAAAAGAAAATAAAAGTTATCGTAGGAAAGAAAGAAAGAAAGATGAAATAGAAGAAAGGACATCGTAAAAAGAAAGAAAGAAAGAAAGATGAAATAGAAGAAAGGACATCGTAAAAAGAAAGAAAGAAAAAAAGATTAAATAGAAGAAAGGACATCGTAAAAAGAAAGAAAAAAAGATTAAATAGAAGAAAGGACATCGTAAAAAGAAAGAAAGATGATGTAGAAAAAAGACATCGTAGATAGAAAGAAAGAAATAGGAATGGAAAAAGGAAGAAAGAAACGAAAAAGAAATACGGAAAATGAAAGATTGGAAAAAACGTAGAAGAAAAGAAAACAGTTGGGGAAGAAAAATAAAAGCCGAGAGAAAAAAAAAAAGAAAAGTTTCGAAAAGGAAAACACATGTAAAGAAAGAAACTGAAAATACAAGAAGCAGTGAAAAAGGTCATCTGAAAGAAAATATTGTCGGGATAATAATAATAATAATAATAATAATAATAAGAAGAAGAAGAAGAAGAAGAAGAAGACATAAAAGAGACCAGACATTGTCATTACAAGTTGCAAACACGAAAAATAGTGCTATATAAAAACATATCTATTAAAGAATATGCCAAAAAAAAGGATCTTGAAAATGAAAAACAAAATCTGTTATATACCTATAATAATTGAAGCCCTGGGTACGATATAGAATAATTAAAAAAAAAGAACAAGAACATTAACAAAATCCTTGGCGGCCCCTATTTACAAGAAATTAAAAAACAAACTTGCACTGTGTGGAACTGTTGATCTCCTCAGGAGAGTATGACAATGCGAAGAAAAGAAAAGAAAAACATTGTATACAGAATTTAACATCAGAATTTGTTCAAACAGAATTCATATATTTTCTTCCTACTTATCCTTAGCCCAGGTATCGAGTAATGACCTGGTCAGGAATTAATACAGGAAGCGAAAAGAAAATAATAATAATAATAATAATAATAATAATAACAATTTGAAGAAATAATGAATGGAGTGTTACTTACATATGCATTTTCGAATTGTGCATGCTACTGTTTTCCGGGACTGTTTCGTTCAACGAGTGGTTGTAGTGGGCATAGACGGTTAGGTTGTTTTCAACGGAAGAATCAGACAATACCTTGTCCATTGTCGTCGTCGTTGTGGCTGGTGGGGTTGTGTTCCTGCCACGACCCTTTACATTCCGAGCATGTAACACACCAACAAAGAACACTAAAAGAAGTGCAGATTTTACGAAATTCTTCATTTTTGGCTTGATATTTCTTTTATAGGTTTTTTCTATCTGAAAAATGTTTGATTTTTTTTTTCAAAACTTTCCTCAAATTTTTAACTAAAATTGTCTTGTCTTCCAAGATATTGAAGAAAAATTTAGTCGCCCTTTTAAAATAGTTTAAATATCACGTTAAATACTAAATGAATGAAATATTTTAAATCCTAAAAGGTGTTTTTTTTTTTTGACGATTTATTTGTGTTAGTTAAAATAAAAAAATTTCCCTATAATAAAATGTAAACAGCTTACTTCATAAAAATTAATATTTGCTATATATAGATTTATGTATTTTTGTGGTTTTATATGAAAATATTAAAAAAGATATAACATATTTGTTTGTAAGTCAAGATGTCTTAATTTTTCTTCTCCAAAATTAAACGAAATCTATTAAAATGCTAAGAATAAAATGTGTTTGGTTGTTTTCATTAACGATAGAACTAGGTATAAGTTTCTTAAAACAAAAATTGATTTGCCCGCCGTGAATACAGAAAAAAAAACTTTTAACTTTTTAAACAAGTTTCTAGTAATTTCCTTTAAAAGTAAAAAAAAAATATCAGTTGACCATAAAAACTAAAAAGTTAATATTTGGTAAATAAACGTTTTACTTTCTTTTCTTTTTTTAATAAATAAAAGGATAAAAATGTATTTTAAAAGTCTTATTAATTTCTCGTTCAAGGAAGAGGACCCCAAAATAATTTTTTATGCAGAGGTTTTTAAAAAAATCTTCCTTTGAAAGGAAAATTAAAATCTTTTTGCTGTTGTTTTGTTTTCAAAAGATTCTTTTACAGAATTTGGGACATTTACTGCAGTCGTGACAGAAAGGCCGTCCTCAGCCAACGTTGTAGAAACGAAGAGAGAAGTAGAGGTTTGAAACTGTCTTGTTTATATACGTAGTGATGGTCGTGGGAGTAATTCGTAGTAAATAGATAAATCTTGTTAATTTATCAATATTTTAGAAGCTATAAATTATTGTCAATTATTCTCTCATTATTTATTTATTTTTTTTTTTTTTGAAGGTTTTGCCTTAACGTTGCTGATTTGTTTTGGTGTTTTTAAAGAATTTTTCTAGAGCAGAGAATAAAGTTTTTTGTTGTTGATTTTTAAATTGTCAAGTAATTTTTTTTAAGCGTTAAACAATTCGTTACACAGGTGTAAATAGACGAACTGAAAAAAAAAAGCGTGTCTACTCCTTTTTTTCTTGTTCCTTAGAGAAAAAAAAAAAGAAATCTATTGTAGACAGAACAAGCGCTGGTTTGAAAATGCAGTTGCAACTGTTATTGCAAAGTCACTCATAACAAAATACTGTAGATAGAGTTCATAATTGAAATAGAGTCGCTTGTAGGAAACAGGATAGACAGGATGAATGAAAGCGTTGAATGAAAATTGCCGGTCGCCACTTCTCGACTGCTCTTTAGCTTACGATATTAAACGTCTGGCAGGAAAATTTCTTCTGAATGAGGCAAAGTGTCGAATTCGCCCTTAGAAATACCCCTTCGGCGTCCGGGGCGGCACGGGAAAGAGTTGGATAGGTTAACCTTGCTCATTCTACATACACACATACGTGCCTACACTTTTAGGTCGACGCATGCGTATGTCTGTGTGTAGAAAAGAAAAATAATGAAAAAAAAAAAAAAAAAAAAGGAAAGAAAGAAAGAAAAAAATAGTGCGACTGGTTTGTTTGTATTCCGGGAGGAGTTAAAGACAGAGGCGTCTGGTCGGGGTAGCATGAGGGACGTGATGAGATATTGAAAAAAACAAAAAAAAAACAATAACAAAAAACAGCCAAAAAAAAAACCAAAAAAAAAATGGAGGAAGGGTGAGAGCGAAAGAGGGGGAGAGAGAAAAAAAGAGAAAGGCAATTGGAGAGGGTAAAAATCGGAAGAAACTGATAATATACGGTATACAATGACCGCATCTTTTTTTTTTTTTCTAACAACAGAGCAGTTCAGCATAGCCAAAGACACCTATTTGTTGTTTGTTTATATATATATATATATATATATATATATATATATATATATATATATATATATATAACAACAACTCTCTCTTTCTTTCGTTTATTTGAATTTTCTTTCTTTCTTTTTCTTAACGTTATAATTTCTTTCTTTTTTTTCTTAACGTTATAATTTCTTTCTTTTAATTAAATCTTTTATCCTTTCTTTCATTATTTCTTTCTCAATTTAATCGCTTCTTTCTTTCTTTTTTGCTTGTCTTCAATTTTTTTTCTGTCTTTCTTTCGTTCTCTTATTTAAATTCTTTCTTTTTAAAATCTTTTTTTTCTCAACTTCATCAATTCTTTCTTTCTACGTTGTTTTATTCAATTCTTTCTTTCCTTCTTTTGTTTAAATCTTTTATCTTTCATTCTTTTTCAACTTCATCACTTCTTTCTTTTGGTTTGTCTTCTTTTTCTACTTTTTAAACTCGTTTCTTTCTTTCTTTTATTTAAATTCTAAGTTCTTTCTTTCTTTCACTATTTCTCAACTTCATTACTTCTTTCTTTCCCTTCGTCTTTTTTATTCAATTCTTTCTTTCTTTCTTTTGTTTAAATCTATTCTTTCTTTCTTTTTCTTTCCGCTAATGTTATTTTTTAATTCAGTTCTTTCGTCTTTCTTCCTTTTATTTAAATTCTCTGTTTCTTTCTTTCTTTCTTTCTTTCTTTTTCTTTCTTTCTTTCTTTCTTTCTTTCTTTCTTTCTTAATATTATCTCTTCTTTCCTTCTGTTCGTCTTTTTTTTACGTCAATTCTTCCGTTTTTCTTTCTTTTCTTAATTTCTGTTTTTGTTTATATTCACCGACTACTTTGGTAATGTTAAACTTGTTTATCGTGCGGCATAAAACAAAACAAAAAAAACCAAACAAACAAAAACACGTGGATTGGCGTATGGAGGAAAGAAGACACTGTTGCGCCAGTGTTTAAACAGAACAAACAACTTGTCTGCCTTGAAGATCAAAGTTTGAAATTTTAGATTTATTTTTATGCGATCGTTCGAATAACGATAGGAATTCGATTTTTTCTTTCATTCTTTCTTTCAATCTTTCTTTCTTTCTTTCTTTTTTCTTTTCATTCTTTCCTTCCTTCTTTCTTTCTTTCTTTCAATCTTTCTTTCTTCCTTTTATAGGTCCGCGTTTTGTTTATTTTCCCATTTTTTTCTGAAATGTTTACCTTTGCTTTCGTTTAAATTTTTTATTTCTTTATAATTAATTATATCAGTTTTTATCATATTTCTCTCTCTCTAACACTTTCTATTTTTCTCTCTCTCTCCTCTCTGTATATACGGATTAATATTATATACACATGTCTATATCAATCTACAGTGAGTAATTGAGTTTTTCTATTTGTATCATATATATATATATATATATATATATATATATATATATATATATATATATATATATATATATATATATATATATATACACTAAAAAAAGCAGGCATGTCTAGTACTGATTAACCATCAACAAGTAACTGCCTGACGAAATCGTAAGGTCGAAAAACCCAGTTGTGCCTTGCGTGAAATTTTTCCTAATCTTACATGATATATAATATATATATATATATATATATATATATATATATATATATATATATATATATATGTGTGTGTGTGTGTGTGTGTGTGTGTGTGTGTGTGTGTGTGTGTGTGTGTGTGTGTGTGTGTGTGTGTGTGATAAACTGGTAATGAATTTAAAAGTAAAATTAAAGCAATGTAAGGTAAAATATTTCAAAATCCAAAAGAGGAAATGAACGACAAAAATCTATCTATCTATCTATATATATATATATATATATAGTGAATTAACGGTATTAATACATAATACAACCTATAGGTATGCACCCTGAAATAAATATATATACACACAATGTTGTATTATGTATTAATACCGTTAATTCACTATATATATATATAGATAGACACAATATGTGTGTGTGTGTGTGTGTGTGTGTGTGTGTGTGTGTGTGTGTGTTTATATAAGGAATGGATTAAATCATATACTCCAATATGAGTATCCATTAAAAAGAACGTTTAAACAAATAAATTAATTTATATATATATATATATATATATAGATAGATAGATAGATAGAGAAAGAGAGAGAGAGAGAGAGAGAGAGATATGGCATACACACAATGTTTCACTGAATCTAGATAGATAGATAGATAGATAGATAGATAGAGAAAGAGAGAGAGAGAGAGATGGCATACACACAATGTTTCACTGAATCATTATTTTTCTTTCGGTTTTCTTGGCCGTACGTTCAAATTCTTCATCTTTCTTTTCTGTTTGTGAACGAGACATGATTGGGGGGGGGGTGACGAGAGGAGGGCATAGGAGTTTTACTTGTTTTTAAAGTGAATCAAACGTTTTAGTGTTTGTAAACTTTTTTCCCATCATCTGACTCTCCCAACTCTTTCACTTTCTCTCTCTCTCTCTCTCTCCCTCACCCTCTATCTTTCTCTCCAGATTTTCCTTTCTTTCTCTCTCACTCTCTTTCTCCTCTGTTTCTCTCCTTGTTCTTCTAGTCTATTTTTTATTTCGCCCTCTCTTTCTTTCACCTCCGTTCCCGTTCTCTTTCTAGATTTCATTTTCTCTCACATCTTCTCTTACACTCCCTCTATCATCTCGCACTCTCGCTTTCTCTCTTCTAGCCTTTTACCGTTTCTCCTTTTCTCTCCCATCTTCTCTCTCAATCTTTCTAGCTCTCTCTCTCTTTCTCTCTCCCCTAACTCTCTCTCTCTCTCTCTCTCTCTATATATATATATATATATATATATATATATATATATATATATATATATATATATATACAGTGTAACCCGGATATAAGAGAGTTGTCAGGACCGGAGAAGTCTCTTATATCCGGGTTTCTCTTATATCTGGGTTTGGTCTATTTTATATACATTAACACAGGCTCTAATTTGGGACCAGAAAAAATCTTTTTATATCCGGGTTTCTCTTATATTCAGGTCTCTTATATCCAGGTTACACTGTATATATATATATATATATATATATATATATATATATATATATATATATATATATATAATTGATTTAAAAACCATATTTTAAATCAATTAATTTATAATATTAATGTCTGTAAATTTACATTGAGCACTATTTTGTAAAAATAATAATATCTATAAGAACACCGGATTATATATCTTTTTATATATATATATATATATATATATATATATATGTCTTCTACTGTGTCTATCAATATCCTTCTACAGTTTTTCCCTTTCTCTCTCTCTTTTTCTCTCATCGTCCTCCCTATGATATCAATTCCGTTTTTTCCTGTTACTCTCCAGTCCCTCCCCCTCTCTCTCTCTCACTCACTCACCCACTCTCTCTCACTCTCTCAAATTCTCAGATCTTTCTAGGAATTTGTTGTCTTCGTTTTTGTATAAGCTTCTGTGCGCGCCTGTCTAAAATCTTTCCTGCTCTCTCTTTCTGGCTCTCTTCCACTCTGTCCCTCTTTCTGTCTCTCTTTTGCTCTCACTCTCTCTCTATCTCTATCTCTTTCTCTCTCTGTCAATCGCGAACGTTTCTTTTCTCCTCGTCCCTTTTGCTTCTCTCTGTCTATCTATCTATCTAGCTAGCTATCTAGCTAGCTAGGTAGCTAGCTAGTAAATCACACACAGTCTACTCTGATAACAATTCCATTTTATCCTCTTTCTCACTCACCTATCTCTCTTTCTCTCCCTCACTCTTGCTTTCTCTCTTCTACTGTGTAAGTCACGACCCTTTTACCATTAGTACTTTTTTTTCATCTTCTCTCTCTCTCTCTCTCTCTCTCTCTCTATATATATATATATATATATATATATATATATATATATGTATGTCATAGCATTCAGCCTTTTTTCTTTCCTCTCACATCTTTTATTTTCTGTCTTTCTGTCTGTGCGTCTCTCTCTATCTCCCCCGCCCCTCTCTCTCTCTCTCTATATATATATATCTGCATCTCCGTCTCTTGCTGTCTGTTTCTCTCTCTCTCTCTCTCTCTCTCTCTCTATATATATATATATATATATATATATATATATATATATATATATGTATATAATTATATCTGTCTCTCTGTCTCACTGTTGTGTGTGTCTCTCTCTATATATATGTGTGTGTCTCACTCTGTCTCTGTATTTCTGGCTGTTTGTCTCTCTCTCTCTCTCTCTCTCTAATCTACAGTATCTATAAATATACTTGTATGGTTTATATTGCTTCTCTCATCTTCTCTCTCTCTCTCTCTCTCTCTTCTACTATGTCTATCGATACGTTTCTATCGTTTCCACTTCTCAATTCTACTGTCTCTCTTTCCCTTTATATCACTCTCACACACACTCTCTTCCAAACTGTCTAACAATATTCTTCTACCCTTTATCATGATATCTACTCTCTCTCTCTCTCTCTCTCTCTCTCTCCTACTGTGTCTTTCAACAGCCACTTACAGTCCCCCTTTCTTCTACTATCTACTCCCTCTCTTTCTCTATCTCTCTTTCTCTCTTTCAAATCTACTGTATGTATCAATATCCTCCTACGTTTTCTCTTGCCCCTCCCATCTTCTTGCTCTCTCTCTCTCTCTTCTACTGTGTTTATCAATAGCTTTCTATCGTTTCCCTTTCTTCTCCATTCTACTCTCTCTCTCTCTCTTTCATTGTGTCTATCAATATCCTTCTACCATTTCTCCTCCTATCTACTCTTCCCTCCTCTCTCTCTCTCTTCTACCCTGTCTATCAATATCTTTCTTTCGCTTTCCTTTCTTCTCCCATTTACTACTCTTCCTCTCTATACTTCTCTCTCCCTCTCTTTCTCTTCTACTGTATCTGTCAGTATCATTCTACCATTTTTACTTCTTCTTTCACACCTTCTTTCAATCTTTCTCTCTCACTTACTCTACCCCCCTCTCTCGCTTGTTCTTTCACGCTCCGTCCCCTTCCCGACCGTCATTCTTTTAGCTCTCTCTTTCCCTACTTTATTTGCCTCTCGCCCTTCTTCTTTTTCATTTATCTCCGTCTCTCTCTCTCACTCTCTTTCATCTGTCTCTTAATTTTCATTTTCACTCCCCATTTCATTCACTCTCCTACTACGACACCCAATTCTCTCCCTCTCTTCCCTCCTCACTCTCACGCCTCTGTCCTCCCCCCCTTTTTGACTCTGTCCTATTTTCCTTGTTTTCTTTCTCCCTTTTCTCTTCATTCCATTCTCCTTATTTCCACACGCTCTCTATTACTGTCTCTCTCCTTCTATTTTTCCATCTGTTTCCTTACTCACTCCCTCTCTCTATTACTATCTCTCTCCTTTTTTCCATCTCTTTCCTTACTCTCTCTCTCTCTGACTGTCTCTCTCCTTCTATTTTCCATCTGTTTCCTTACTCAATCTCTCTCTCTCCCTCTATCTCTATTACTGTCTCTCTCCTTCTTATTTCCATCTGTTTCCTTACTCTCTCTCTCTCTCTCTCTCTCTCTCTCTCTCTATTACTGTCTTTCTCCTTGTATTTTTCCGTCTTTTCCGTTTCTTTCTCCGTCTATCAGTGTCTCTCTCCTTCTATTTTTCCATCTGTTTCCTTACTCTTTCTCTCTCTCTTTCTTACTGTCTCTCTCCTTCTATTTTTCCATCTGTTTCCTTTCTCTCTCTTTCTCTCTCTCTCTTACTGTCTCTCTCCTATTTTTCCATCTGTTTCCTCTCTCTCTTTCTCATACTGTCTCTCTCCTATTTTTCCATCAGTTTCCTTACTCTCTCTCCCTCTCTCTATATCTCCCTCTCTCTATCACTGTCTCTCTCTATTAATGTCTCTCTCCTCCTATTTTTCCATCTGTTTCCTTTCTCTCTCTCTCTCTCTTACTGTCTCTCTCCTATTTTTCCATCTGTTTCCTTTCTCTCTCTCTCTCTTACTGTCTCTCTCCTATTTTTCCATCTGTTTCCTTTCTCTCTCTCTCTCTCTCTCTATTACTGTCTCTCTCCTTCTTATTTCCATCTGTTTCCTTACTAACTCTCTCTCTCTCTCTCTCTATTACTGCCTCTCTCCTTCTATTTTTCCATCAGTTTCCTTTCTCTCTCTCTCTCTTACTGTCTCTCTCCTATTTTTCCATCTGTTTCCTTTCTCTCTCTCTCTCTCTTACTGTCTCTCTCCTTCTTATTTCCATCTGTTTCCTTACTAACTCTCTCTCTCTCTCTCTCTCTTACTGCCTCTCTCCTTCTATTTTTCCATCTGTTTTCCTTTCTCTCTCTCTCTCTTACTGTTTCTCCATCCTTTTTTTCTCTCTCTCTCTCTCTCTCTCTCTCTCTCTCTCTCTACTGTCTCTCTCTCTTCTTATTATTTCCATCTGTTTCCTTACTAACTCTCTCTCTCTCTATTACTGTCTCTCTCCTCCTATTTTTCCATCTGTTTCCTTTCTCTCTCTCTCTACTGTCTCTCTCCTATTTTCCATCTTTTCCATTCTCTCTCTCTCTCTCTCTCTCTCTCTCTCTGTACTGTCTCTCTCCTTCTTATTTCCATCTGTTTCCTTACTAACTCTCTCTTTCTCTCTCTATTACTGCCTCTCTCCTTCTATTTTTCCATCTGTTTCCTTTCTCTCTCTCTCTCTCTTACTGTCTCTCTCCTATTTTTCCATCAGTTTCCTTACTCTCTCTCCCTCTCTCTATATCTCCCTCTCTCTATCACTGTCTCTCTCTATTACTGTCTCTCTCCTCCTATTTTTCCATCTGTTTCCTTTCTCTCTCTCTCTACTGTCTCTCTCCTATTTTTTCCATCTGTTTCCTTTCTCTCTCTCTCTCTACTGTCTCTCCAATTTTTCCAT